CTCCTCCTCCCTTCTGAATCGGGAAGCGTCGGAATCCGTAGGCGAGGAAATAACGACCCCTGCAGTTGCATTGCGGAAAATCTCGGCGGCGGCGCTGGGCGCGGGCGATGGAAGCGAAGCAACCGGGGGTTCCGGGGAGCCCAGGAAAATAGCAGAGGAGCAGAAAGCGCGCGCGCGACGTGGGCAGCCCGTGGGCGCCCGACGCGCCCCAGTCCCCGGCGCCCTGGACGCGCGGCCCCAACCCGTCTCGGAGGCGGCAGGCTGCGCGGGGACCTGGGGAGCAGGGAGGGTCGGTTGAAGCAGCAGGCGGCCGGCGGTTTCGGGCAATAATCCCTGCCTGTCTTTCTCTGTCTCTGTCTGCATGTCTGCTCCTCCCTCCACTCCCCGGAAGCAGGAGGAGAACCGCCCTGGAGCGGAGCAGCCACCCTCTGACCATGCCCCGGTGAGCGGGGCGGACTTCGAGGGCAACTTGCCGCGGACGGCCCGGGCTTAGCCAGCGAGCTCCGAGCTGCCGGGAGCCCGGACCTGCACGGCGCGGCCCGGCGGGGGGCTGTCGTCTATGTCTTCTTGGGGCACCAGGAGGATCGGAGTCTCGTTTTTTCAGGAAGAGCCCAGCGCTGGTGGCTTCAGGTGGCTGCCGCCGCCACCGCCGCTAGTGCTCTTTCCGCGGCTGGTCCGAGGAGCAGAGACGCGCGAGCGGGGAGACCTCCGAGGCAGCGAGGCACCGGACATGTGTCAGCACATCTGGGGCGCCCATCCGTCGAGCCCGAGGGGAGATTTGCCGGAACAATTCAAACTGCGATATTGATCTCGGGGGTGACAATCCCTGGCCGGCTGTCGGGTGGGAGTGCGTGTGCGCTCGCTCAAGAGTGTGTGCGTGTGTGTATGTGTGTGTGCCGTGCTGGGCTCCCCCCTGCCCCCCGTTTTCCCGTCGAGTGATGCACTTGGAATGAGAATCAGAGGATGGAAATAGTCTGGGAGGTGCTTTTTCTTCTTCAAGCCAATTTCATCGTCTGCATATCAGGTATGGGACGCGCTGGAGTCACGGGCGGGTTTGGAGTATGTGGTTTAGGGACTGCATGGGGTTTTATTGTGTGTAGACGCGGGGCGGGAAGGGAGGGGGTGGCAGGGACCCTTTCAGCTCTGCGGGTTTGCCGCCTTCCGAATCAAAAATCTTCTAAGCCCAAAGTGGTGTGTGTGTGTGCGCGCGTGCGTGTGCGTGCATGTGTGTGTGTGTGTGTTTGTGTGTGCTCTGGGGTTAGGATCTGTATGCAGTCCTGGAAGGGAGAAAGGATGGGGGATGAGAAAGAAGAGGCAGATGGGTGTTGATTTTCAACTGCTTTCCTGGCTGAGAACTCTGGCGCCGAAATCTGAGCCCTGGCAGCCCCCACCCCCATCCTCTGGCTTTAAAAGTTCCCAAACTCGGTGGTTTGTGGCTGGCAAAATGGACGCAGAGCCCTGCCCTGGTATCTAAGCACTTTCAAGAGACTGCAGGAGGATGCGGGACTGGTGAGTACTAGCAGGGACCAGAGAGATGTGGAGGTGCTCCAAGCCTTCCCCAAACACGTCAGGACCGATTGTGATGGTTTGAAACCTGCGGGCACACCGCCTCTACCCCAAATAAAAGAAAAAAAAAACATCTGAAGCAACACAGTATGACAAATATCACTTTAGATCATGGTCT